TCCCTGCTGCACAGCCTGGTGCTGCGGGCGCAGGAGCTCGTCCTGCAGCTGCACGCGCTGCAGCTGGACCGCCAGGAGTTCGTCTGCCTCAAGTTCCTCATCCTCTTCAGCCTCGGTGAGTGACAGGGGGATGGGGAGGTGGCTGGGTTCAGGGGGTGGCTCTGAGGGGGCTATGTGCTGGGGGCTCAGTGGGGCAAAGACCCTCCCTCCATGAGGGGACCTGCTCTTACAGTGGGGGTTGCTGTCTCTCGGGCCTCAGTTTCTCTCTTTGAAAGTAGAGCCAAGATGATGTCTAGGACTGGCCCTTTATGAAATGCGGACCCCTTCTGAGAATTCGGTGAATTCCCAGCTGAAAGGCGGAGACAAGTGCCCCTGCCACCTCCAGGGAACACCGTGCGGTTCCTGGAGCTTCTGTTCCCTGGTCTCCTCCTGGGGTCCCTGTTTTTCCCAGTTTCCTGTTCTTGAGGGGGGAGGGGGCCTCCAAATTCTGACTCTGAGCTCTTTGGGGCCCAAACACCTTTGCCCATTCATCCATTCATTCATTCTACAAACTTTTGCTGAGCAACTGCCCTGTGCAAGCAGCAAGGATACGCAATGAACAAAAAAGACCCAAATCCCTATTTGCAAGGAGCTGACCTTCTCTTGGGGGGAGAGGCAATGAGCAGGAGATGTCAGCTCAAATATATAAATTGGTGGATGCTTAGTGAAATGATAGCCTGAAAGATTGCGGTAAACGCTAAGGAGGGGAAAATGCAGGGAAGCGGGAGAGGGTGAGCCCAGCCACCCGCGTGCCCCGCGCCCCAAGGCTCTGGGGTTGCCTCCGTTGCCTTCCCTACCCGCCCAGCCTGTGCTGCTCCAGTCTCCACCGTCCTCTCGGCTCTCAGCAGGGTGTCCTCCTTCCGTCCTCCCTCTCCCAGAAGCCATCTCTAGCCACGGTCCTCCCTGTGCCCAGCGATGCTGCAAACATAGAGGTTTTCCTTACTCTCAGGTGGCTCCCCGTCCAGGCAAGGCCTCCAGCCAGTCATCAGGACTGGACAGAGACACGGGGGACCCAGGGTGGGGACAAGGACTCTGCCTGGTAGGCTTCCTGGAAGAGGGACATCGGAGCAGGGTCTCAGAGGATGTGTAGGAGTTGGCTGGGGGGATAAATCTTTCTCAGAGGCGTCGGTGGGATGGAAGGTTGGAACGGGCCATGAATGCCTCCTCACCCGGGGAGGAGGCAGGATTTGAGACTTAGTCTTTGTGGCAGGTGGCTTCATAGGCACAGCCTGGCAAGGGTGTGTCTACCCAAGAGTGGGGGCTTTGGGGAAGAAGTGGGCTGGCTGGGGGGGGGCATTGTGGAGCGTTGGCTGTGCTCAGTCCATGGCCGGCGGGCTGGGTGCTGGGCTGGGTCTTCTCACTCAGCAGGCTGGTAGCCGAGGGCTCATCTGCAAGGCTGCAGGGTTTGGTAGGGGACAGCCACGGTGGGGCTGGGGTTTGAATCTTGAGCAGCCGGCTAGGGGGGTGACCTGAGGCCCTCGGAGGAGCCGCAGGGGCGCAGGCCAGGCTGGCTCCAGCAGGGGGAAGCCCCCCCCTTCCTCTGCCCCCAGTGGTACCCTCCTCCGAACCTTGCTGAGAGCTGCCGGGCTCGGGGACTGGCTCAGGCCGAAGCCACGGACGGCTGTGGTTGGGGATGTGGAGACTCCAGGAGCTTGGTGTGTGTGCGCCTTTGTGTTTGTGTCTTCGTTTTCACATAAGTGCAGACTGTGGGCTTCCGCAGGCTTGTGTTCTTGTGGGTCACATTGTGGAGGCTGAGTGTGACTGGGGAGTGACGGGGGAGGGAGGGGAGGGCTTTGGACTGCTGGGTGGTGCTTGGGTGCTGGGGGCCGTAGCATGGGCGTGTGGGCTCTGTGGCCGTCTGGGTGGTGTGTGAGGCAACCTGACCACCATCAGGAGGCCACCAGGAGGTCCTGGGGAGGGTTGGGTGGAGGGGGTGCTGCCGGCCACCCACCCGCGTCCCTCCATCTGTCCGTGGACACGCCCTGCAGGACAGGGACCATGTCTTGGCTTTCAGGCTGCCGGGGCCTGAGGCCCACGCCCTGTGGACCCGGCCCCCTTCCCACCAAAGCCCAGGCGCTGGGGCTGCCGGGTCCAGCAGAGCTCTAGTCTCCAGCAAGAGATCAGCCCAGAGGCCAGCACAGCTGAGCCCAGCCCTCTTCCCGGGCCAGGCGAGGTGCCACGCTCAGAGCCCGGAGTGCCAGCCCCTTCATGCTAACCTTCATCCTGTTTTCCGGAGGAGGCAGCTGAGGCCTGAGAGCCCGCGAGTCCACAGTGCCTATGGGACCAGGCTGGAGGGGTGGGGTGGAGGAGGGGTGTGTGTGTGTGTGTGTGTGTGTGTGTGTGTGTGCACGCGCGCTATGTGTGCACTCATTGCCAGGCAGGATGGGGTGGTGATTAGCAATGGGGACTAGGTATGGACACCTGGATTCTAAATCTGGACTCTCTCGGGCTGTGTGCCCTTGAGGAAGTCACTCCCCTCTCTGAGCCTCTCTTGCCCCACCCTAATAATCCTTAACTTGCTACGAGGATTGAATGAGAGAACTCCCTCGGAATGTGCGCCAGTCTTGCCTTCTTCATGACCATCATTAGTAAGTTAATGAGCAAATGAACCCGTTAATGGATGGAGTGAATGAATGAGCGAGTCGGTCTCCATCTTCACCGCACGCCGTGTGTCTGGCACAGGGCCTGGCCTTTGGGGCTGAGGTGGCTGGGGGAGAGCACCGGGCCGGCAGGCCGGAAACCCTAGCGAGGTTGGGGCTACGGGAGGAGGCGGCCACGGACCTGGGCCTGCGGGAGCTCATGGAGGGCAGGAGAGAGGCAGCCGCGTGAGCCGTGTGCAAGGCCTTGAATGCCGGGCCGGTGCCTTGACCCTTCCCTCGGGAAGGATCGTCAGCTGGCATCACAGGACCAAGCCTGCAGTTAGCAAGGTGCTTCCCACGCAGCCTGGGAAGGGGCCGCGCCCTGCGGGCGGGAGGGCCACTGTGGAGAAATCTGGGCAAGATGAGGGGGAAGATTTGCCCGGAGTCTGGGAAGCGAGAGGGGGCTCCTCCATGGCCACCAGAGCTGGGTGCCCAGACCTCCAGCTGGCATGTGGGCATCCCCCTTCCTGGGCTGCGCAGCCTGGACCCGGGTGATGCC